TGTAATAATAGCATCGGAAAGTTTTCGATGTATGTATACGTTTCATTTAATTTCAATTAATCTTTTTTTACAAATAAATACATAAATTATGTAATATTGTAGAATTTCMGTGTATATTTTAATTATTTTACAAATAAATATACGTATGCTGTATTATTGAAGAATTTCCATTTTTATTTTAGTATTTTGCGATACGATTAGGTCTCTGTACTGTACACCTTTGACATCAAACGACAACGATTCGATATCCTTTCTAGTTATCTAAGTAGTAGGTAGTAATTTCAGTATATGAGTATATGCGTTCATTTTTCGATCAGTATTTGTATGAAATTCGTATTGTATTGGAAAAAAACACATGTTTTAATACTGTTATGTCAATAAGAGACATACTATTAAACAAAACTCCAAATAACAATTATTCAGAAATTGAATACACTCCAAAAGAAATAATGTGTATGAAATATGCACCTGCCACGTCCGTTAATATGGAGAGGTCATTCAGCCGTTACAAAGCAATGTTAAGACCGAACCGCCGCCACTTTACATTTGAAAATTTCAAGCTATATGTTGTTTCTAACTGTTTCCCACATGAAGACTATGATGATTCAGAAGAGATTTTTAATTTTTTTWTATTTTTTAATTAATTATTTAATAATTCTATGTTATTTTCAATTTAAATATTTAAATATTATACATTTATAAATAAATATTTATTAAGTAATAAACAAATATAATATATTATATTTAAATATTTTTAATTTTATACTAAATTAAAATCCGTTCCCTAGTCATCAGGCATGTAGGAAGTAGAAGATTAATTTTATTATGTGTACCTAGTGTACCTACAGATTTCCTACTTTGCGTGTAACATAAATAATGGAAAATGGATCGGATGCACACGCCACATGGCTTTAATGACAGATAATTATAATATTATAATATATTGTGTTTTAGTCGTCATCGTAATATAATATATTATTCTAATGATGAAATTGAAATAATTGATTGATGGAGTTTTATTAACAATCAAGTTGCGAGTGTGYACAACTATCGTGCTTTYAATGTGTCAGATTTGTGATAATGAACGAGTTTGACCTAAAGAATGGTGTTTATTGTACGCGTTGTATATTATTTGATGTTTAAAATATTTGTACGCCAGTCAAAATATAAATAGTAACATCGATGCACTATAATAATACAACGATACAGAGTGTATCGGTTGGGGAAAAGTGGTAACAGACAATTGAACATCGACAGTTTAATATTCTACGCAAAATTGTTAAGTAGGTACCTATATACCTAATAATATTTGGTATTAGATTTGCACTACTGTGACTGCACCCGTAGCGCTGAATTGGGCGGTTTCGTCCAATCTATATTTATATCAGGTATTTGCCTGGACATAATAAACTGGTTGTCCATTTAATTTTAATGCTTAATATTTTCAATATGAAAACAAAAWTGATTATACAAAAAATTTTGTTTTAACATTTTTTCGCAAATTTACCTCTGCGTCAGTCTTGACCGTTAAGCTGTTATGACTTCTTCTTTTAAAGTATAGATAATACCGAATATAATATATTTACTTAAATATACAATTTCACTGATGTGTCTTATAATTTAAAGTCACACAATCAACATGAATCATAAATTCATAACACTATAATTGCGCGGCAATATCTAATTCAAATAATAATAATATCTATATAGTCTTAGAACTCTTAGCGGGAAGTTTACTTTATTATGTAAATATTTATATTGTTTGTTTGAAATTTGGGTCGACAAATGATGTAACGTAATATTCATGTTGGAWTGCTTTGCCAAAAACATTCACAGAATCAAATCCAAATCAATTTATGTCATACAATTTTTGTACCTATGTCGGTGTGTCGCATCATGCGCATCACACGCATAATAGTATRTTTAAGTATAATCAAACTATTCAAACTTGTACTTAAACCTAATGGATATCAATATATTAATTTTATGAAGCTCAATCATAACGTATAACTATGTAAGATTGTTTTAAAGTAATGTACCAAGTGGAAGCAGTTATAGTTAATAAAAATTTCATGAAATGGAAACCACTRTTTTATACTCGCACGTAATTTTATTTTAAATTTTCGTTACACCAAATGAATAATTTTTATCCACCAGACACAATTATTAATTATTAATTAACAAATTTTTAAATACATTAGGTGTATCTATAGTCATAAAAAGCAAAATAATGCAATAATGCATTAATAGTAGGTACCCAATTAAAAGTTGTTAATCGCTATATTATGTAGATATAAAAATATGTAAACAGTTATTAAATCGTTTCTAATTTTTTGAACACCTTATTGTATA